TTGTCGTCTGTATTACTGAACTAAAAACGCTTGAAACTTTGTTTTACTTTTACTAACACTGCATTAGCTCCATAAAATTTTATTTTTTTCCACAGATTGTATCGTATATTTCTTATTTGGTATTATTAATTCACGAAGAACTGGCCATTAATTGCGGTTACCGCAGTAATTAAGGCTATGGTGGCCGCTTATTATCAGGCGCACTAGTAATTTTTGAACCAAAAGGGCGCAAATAAAATAATTTCGTTTCATAGGTACTTATTATTTAGTTGTTTTTGGCAATTCAAAAACAAAAAAGGGATTTTTTTATTACATATGGCTGATTTTGTGTGGATAGTTTCACATTTTATCTTACCTATTCAGTATATCTTGGAAAAGGAAAAATTGTAATTTTGATGGAGGTGGTATTTGTATTAGAGTTTCCTTTTATGATTATAAAATAATATTAGTTTATATTATCTTGCGGACAATGGTTTCTATTATTTTATGATTAGACGCTTTAGGTTTGTACACCATAATTTATGTTTTCAATAAATTATTACTGGTTTGATTCTACTTCGTTAAAAATCACTTTTTTTTCTGCGCGCTTTTCAGAAATACTACTATTGGAAAATCGAAATGATATCTCCATTTTAGAAAATATCTATTATGCAAGCACGAAGCCTGTAAAGTGTCCGAAACGTCAAAAATATTGTAGCAAATAAATGAAATGCAGTTTTTAGTCATTTCAAATGTGTTTTTTTAAGGAAAAATGTACATGAAACGTAATAGTACAAGACTCAAAGGAAGCCTTTATACCTTAAAGAAATAATTTGGATAATTATCCAAATTATTGCAGAAATTAATCAAGTTATTGTTTTTTGCTTTTGACATTTAAAGTATCTGGCAATAAATACTGCGGACAGAATGTGTCTGGCAGTATTAGTTTCAAATTGTTTACAATATTCTCTACAACATGCGTAAGAATCGGTACCTAGACTATAAGTAAAGTGAGTAAAATTTTTACGTGCCTGTGCCAACTGATACCTGAAAATTGGCCACAAGTTAGCGAGTATATATATTTTCATTATACATATTAATACTACTCGATTTTTCATATATTGTTCATGAGATAATAATTAATGTCTAGCAATCTTGGGATCTTACTCTATAAGAATAAATAAGCGGCCCTCACTGATCGCGTCGAAATTCTTCTAGTCATTCTTAAGCTGCAAGGCAGCGCTATATCTTCGCATTATGTATTGTGAGTTACCTATAATGCGAAGAGATAGCGCTGCCTTGCAGCTTAAGAATGGCTAGAAGAATTTCGACGCGGTCCGTGAGGGCCGCTTATTTATTCTTATAGAGTAAGACCCCAAGATTGCTAGACATTAATTATTATCTCATGGACAATATATGGAAAATCGAGTAGTATTAATATGTACAATGAAAATATATATACTCGCTAACTTGTGGCCAATTTTCAGGTATCAGTTGGCACAGGCACGTAAAAATTTTACTCACTTTACTTTTTTTACTGATTTTTTTCTAGTTATATTTTCTTTAGATTTAAACATCAAGCAGCTACATGCTTTAAAATAATAAAAATTATAACTATAAATAATGTATTTACCAAGCGGCAAAATTCTACTTAACTAAGTCCACGTGGACTACTATTTGTTGTGGAAATATTCAAAAACAGTTTCCTGATTTTTTAATTCAAATAATTTGATGAGAAAAAAAAATTAAATACTACGAATTTCATGAGTTAGGTAATTAATTTTTTATCGTTTAGTCAAAGGAATTCTTAAACATAAAACCCGCTATTCCTCGAAACTTAAGAATATTTTAATAAAAGAATATTATTTTCATTGAAATTTTAATACCTGCCTTAAACTCGAGCAGTGGTATTAAAACAAAATTCCTTCATTTTTCATGCTTTAATAAAAATAAATAAATAAGAGTAAAGACTTCCGTGGTAGAATCGTATGCACTCGGTTCTGATGGAGTCGTCTACTCTGAGGTCCTAGGTTCGAATCCCGGGCTCACCCAGGAATAACTATGTGAACAGGAATTACCGGGAATAATTTTGCCGCTGCAAAGGTTTGTATAATGAACACGAACATTTGTACTTAACTCATAGCTGTTTATATATCATTATCATCAGTCGATGTACATCCACAACTGGACATAGGCCTCCTTTAGGTAAACATAACGGTCGTGCGCTGCCGTTATATTGAAATACATATCATCAAATCATTGAATTGCATGAATCAATGGGATCATTAGACATTATCATGCTTTCAGACACATTAAGTTAGGGACTTGCATCTTCTATTAGCAATAAATAACATAATAAATTTTATAATTTATGCATTCTTGGGCAATGATCTATAATATAAAAATGAATCGCTGAATGTGTTGCTAAGCGCAAATCTCGAGACCAGCTGAACTGATTTTCATAATTCTATTTTTAGAATATTCCTTAAAGTACGAGGATTGTTCTTACGCAGATGAAATTATAAAAATTGCCTAAAAAGTCCAAAAACAACAATTTTCTATATTCCCATACAAACGAATCGTAATAATACTTCAAAGTCAATTTGAACTTTAATACCATACCGTAAATTTCAAATGTTAGTGGAGAGGTTCCGGGAAGGAACCAATAAAACAATTGAGTGACGTGATGTCAATAGATGTTTGAAAAAGGCAAATATACCATTTTCAGTTTTTTTTTTATAATTATATGAAGAGGCATTTTAGTCTAAACTACAGCTCTACACCGAAGCGAAGCGAGGGCGGGCCACTAGTTTAAAATAAAATTTAAATAATGTAACGGTTGATAGTTTAACCAACATAATCATTTCATGTAGTGACACCGGTGACACATTAGAAAAAGGGACATACTGAATTGTTTTAATGTGTTATTAAAGTTCCAAGGTGAAACTAACTGTAAATTATTGAACAGCCCTTATGCTAAAAACATGACGTGGGATAAAAATAAGCCCATTTTTAATTGATATACATATCTCTTTATATTTGATGAATCTTCATAGTGGCATTTTCTTATTTTTGGACATAATTAAATTTATTAGAAATTTTAAGCTGACTTCAGATACTATGTATATTTCAAAAAAATATCAGACAATTAGGTAATTTGTTAGCTGCTAATTTACAAATTGTAATTTGTTCTTTTAAAACTGACATCAGTACTTGTACTAATTAGAATGTAGATCTACAATAAACCCCGTAGATTTAAACAAAAACGTATATCAAAAGCTTAGCCCCCTGTGTCAACATTATTCACTAAAATATCCAGTCCAGATCCAGAGTAGGCTTGCCCAGCAAAGACATAGAATTAATAGCAAAAATCAATCAATAAATAAATCAGTGCATCTATAGCGTTAGCCACCCCGGAAACTTTGGTACATTTGAATTAGCATGGAGAACTTAAAAATTAAAACTGTACTGTAATAGTATGTGATGATTTGAACGTCAATCTACTTGAAAATAGCTCTTTAAGTCTCCGCTTTACCTTGCTTAAATATTTAAATTTAAATTTCCAGTTTAATGAACTAACCAGAGTAATATCTCACTCAGCCACTTGTTAAGACAACTTTTTTTCCTAATTGGAATGCAATTGAAATCAGTCTTTAGTGATCATCTCCGATTTAAGACAACCTATAGTTCCAATGACAGTACTGAGCCGAACATAATAGAGTGTAGACCTAAAACAAATGAGCGCGTAAATTATTTTAGAAATAACATTAGCGACAAACTTCCTTTAATCCTTTGGGCGCATGCTGATTTGGATATTTTGTACAAAAATCTTTTTGAATTAATAAAATAAAATAAGAATAATGTAATTTCAAAATACGTTCAGGCCGAAAACCATTATATGTACAAAGAGGTTGCAGTTCTGTGACTATAAGACAAGTGGTACATATAAAAGTGGAACAAGGCTTTACGTGCTTTAAAGCATCAAAGAATATAACCAGGATGCTGAGTTTATTACCTATGTTATAAAATATTCTAAATTGTTTAAAGGCATATGTAATACTGCAAAGTAAAATTTTATTACAGATAAAATAAAATCTAATAATAGAATAAAGATCACATGGGATGTCTTTAAGCGCGAAAGTGGCAAGTCTAAGCCTTGTGAAAATAGCAGGGTTTTTAAAATTAATAATCTTGTAGTAGATATTTTCTAGTCTCAGATATTTTCGATAAATTCTTTATGAACATACTAGTAGAAACTACTTCCAATTTGGACTCATCATCAGATACTGCAGCAGCTCTGTTACAAAAATAAGTACCGCCGAGTAGTTTATCATTAATTAATTTTATGTAAGTACGTTAGCTCTTTTAAAATAACAAAAGTTTTCCATTGAATGAAAATGAAGAAATCATGTAATTTATGGGGTATATCAGCCAAAGTCATAATTAACATTATACATTCTATTATAGCTCTTTATCTTGCTGATTCGAAATAAAACGGAGAAAAAAATAGTCCTTCCTGAGTTTCTTGCCGGTTTTGTGTATGTAATGTAATGTAATGGCGTAGCGTTTGACTTTCACAAAAGCTTGTAACAGCCTAGACTGAATGAATGAGTTTGAATTTGAATTTATCTTTACACAAAATTCTTACTATCTACATTTGTATTTTAATATTTATTATATTACGCCGACGACTACGACTGTGGGCTATCCTACATCGGGCAAACAAAGAGGAGTATATAGTATAGGGACTCGGGTTGAAGAACATATGAAACATAGGCGCGACAATAAGTCTGCAGTGTGTGAACATCTTACCCGTTGAAACGTGTTTTGTTTAATATTTATTATTATCCTTATCCATAACACAAGTTGCTTGGGCCTTACTCTGCACCCATCTTATGTCCTTTGCACTTCGGGGCTAGGCTAATTAGTGTGTGTAAGAAATATTCATTAATTCTTAAGCTTATTAAATTTCTAAGGCTACTAAAGCGTGTAAATCTATATACAAATGTATTTTTCACCAGGCATGTGCTAGCTGAAGGCAAACTCGTGTTGGGAGCCAGAAGATCACTCCTAGATGCTGGCGCAGGTGGTAGCAGTGCCATCTTGCGATGCAGAGCGTCAAACCGGGCGGGCACTGTGTTATCCAGGCCGGTGTTGTTACAACCAGGTATTATGGCTATCCTTTTATTATCTATTAACTTTACAAACATTATTGATCCGTTAAAGTATTAATCTTATCAAGCGTCGCAAGGCATCGCTGCATGAAGCATTCATTTTCAGACTATTAACACAAAATAGATAATACAGAAAGTAATCTTATGTATTTACTCATATCTAGATGTTTGATTTTTTGCGAGCGAGAATGAAACAGAAATATTAACGAGAAAAACTAAAATATTTATATATTAATGTCATGTTTGATATTGAATTTTAACAACCGTCTACTCAAAAGCTACAATAACTTTTTCGTTGCTCCATTGTTTTCGCACAAAAAAGTTCACAAACATGTTTCTTCTTCTCCTATTCAGTGGTTGTTCTCCGCAACTCGACACCAGGTAGCTATTTTGCGTGAGTGCTTTAGTTATGCCATCCCAGCTCCTGTAGTCTCTTGGTGTCCCCACAGGCCTCGAGCAGCATCTGCGAGTAGGGACACGATATCGAATAGAAAGTATCGATACTGTACTCATGAATAGTATCGGTAAAAAAGTATCGTACTCGTAAAAGTATCGAAACAAAAGTATCGATACTTCAAAGTATCGAGTACATTTCATAGGGCCTTATCGGAGCCTCTGTGGCCTGATGAGCAACCCCCCCCCCCCCCCTGGTGTTAAAATTGAAAGAAAAACAATCGAATTTTATTATAGTATGTATAATCAAAAACAAAAAAAGGACATGTAAATTCACAAATTGCTATATTATATAATGAAAAGAAAATAGCTGTGATTTCTGACACTAAAAAAGTGTTCATTAATATTACATTCATAATTAAAATGTTAATTAAAAAGATCGAAATCTTAGACAATTTAAAAGTATGAATCTTTCAGATTTGTTTCAAATTAAACTTACTTTTCTTGAATTTTAGTCATTAAAAAACATTATACCCACTTATGTTAACTTGAATCTGACACGCAGTTAACGGCTGCCATTGGCATGCTTCACTCAAAATTATAATTATAGAAGAGGTTACGTCCGTCTTTTTTTCAGGTGGTTTCAAATAGGTATACAGAGCACAGACAGAATAATTGTGTTACACTTGAATAAATCAAATACAGTCAAGCGAAAAGCACAATAAACGGTGAATCAATCACAGTTCCTAACAATATGGTCGCTAAATAAATAACTATGAAACAAAACAAAGCGCAAAATAAACACAGTCATAGATTGGAAAGAATTTGAATATGTCAGTTACTGACTTTATAACAACGCAATAGGGCATTTGACAGTATTAAAATTAAAGTGCCAAAATAACGAAAAACATATTAGTTTTCTTACTATTGTCACGTAACCCAAAACGCTTGGGATTGGCAGAGCCTAATATGACGTCACACGCAAGTAAACTTCCGGTCAAAGTGACATTACATTGTATCGTTTGACGTTTTAATAACAGTCGTGTGACGTCACTCACTAGTAAGACGCCATATTGTCCAGAGAAACGTTTTCGCGGCAACTTGAAAATGGAGTTTTTGATTTGGTTATTTTTACTGAAATACACGACAGAATGATGAATATCCACTTTTTACGGACTCCATAAACATTAGTTAATAACGTGTTGCCTAAGGGTGCGGCCAGAGTGCACTCAGATTCAGATTCAGATTCAGATTCTGAAAACAAGCGCGAGAAATAAACAGTGTAGTCTAAGCAGGTTGCCTGCTTTTTCTCGCGCTTTGTTTTCTGAGTCTGAATCTGAATCTGAATCAGGAGTGCACTCTGGCCGTACCCTTCGACTACACTGTTTATTTCTCGCGCTTGTTTTCGGAATCTGAATCTGAATCTGAGTGCACTCTGGCCGCACCCTAAAACTTGTCGAATACCCTTAAGGGACGTTTTAGAAGGTTTGCTATGATTTAACAAGATGGTGTTGCCATCAATATGAGGCGTTTTTCCAAATTTTTAAAGGTATCGATTCTTGCCAAAAAGTACTCATTTAGTAAAAGTATCGAACACAAAGTATCGAGTACAAAAGTATCGGTATCGAAAGGAAAAGTACTCGATACCACAAAGTATCGATACTTTTTTCGTGTCCCTATCTGCGAGTTGCCCAGGTGTCTCATCCGTTATCTGGTCACAACTCTGCACTGTAGCAGGACGTGAATACTCGTCTCCTCCTCCTCCATGCAGGCTCTGCACAAAGGACTGTCCGATACACCTATTTTATACAGATGTTTATTAAAGTGTCCGTATCCTGGGAGGATTTATTTTCACAATTTGTTTCAAAGCGTGTCTTGGTAGCTTGCAAAACTTAATTGCTAACCGTGAGTCTACCTTAGGTATGGCTTACAGAGACTGGGTCCTGCGAGGGGAGCTTCCGCCCCGGACAAATGTGATCTGCTATACGAATGACACTCTGATTACAGCCCATGGCGAAGCAGGCGGTGGCGATTAGCCCGCCCTCTTATCCGATAATCCACTCATGACTGTAAATGGTCCTTTTAAGGACCAACTAAAAAAGCCCTTATCAGGGCCAAGGTGGCAGCGTTGCTTTACGCTAGGGTCTACTGGTCATGACGGTGGGCAGTTGCTCAACGGCTCACTCACAGAGCCACAGAGGAGCGGGAGAGGGATGGATAGAACTGCGCTCTCCCTCCTTCTACTGCGAGAGCCGTGGGCCTGCCTGGAGGGGACTCCATTGCACAAGCTCTCTGGTTGTAGATGCCCACCTTGCGGGTGCATGGCCGGTTGGCAATCGGGTGCCACTACCATGAAAAAAAATGTTATGGCTTACAGACGCGTGTCTCAAGCGGATAGAATTCGCACTCCCAGTGGTCTCAACTGGTCTGATATATATATATAGGAATCGTTTTCTCTCTTTTCTAGATATCGTGTCCGTGAGCGGTCTCCATATTGTGTGCGTTGCTCGAGCGCACTTCGTATGTGGATTACCTTCTGTACTATCTATTTTGTGCTATTAATATCGCCATTACTGGGGCACAGAGGTTCCCTATGGGTGCAATACAATCATATTAAATACCTATCGTTTTGGTGCTATAGGGTGAAACTTTGCGGGCCCAGTCTAGATTTGTGAGAGCTAACGCCTCCAGATGCAGTAGGGACCATAGGCCTTCCTTGTTATGACATCCGAAGTACGGAGGAGCTCGGAATACCAGATTCTTGGTTATCCCTTTGCCACCGTCTTTCTTCTTTGAAAGTAACTCATTTACTTATTTGTTTATTTTGAGATTGATCTCAATGATTAAGGCCCAATTGTACCTTTGCACCGAAGTCCTAAATTCAAATTTAAAATCTAATCATGTTTTAGTCTCATGTTATCTCTATTTGACTTCAACCAATTGAGAAAGATGGAATGATGTGTCAAACACGATTTAGCCTTTATTTCAATTAAGAACTTTGGTCAAAGTGGGCCTTAATGTCGTTTATCTTCATTATTTAATGAATATACGTTTGCGTTTTGTGTACATATAACTTATCTATATAACTCGGGTGGTAACAGTACTACCTATTGATATTAGCAATAGAATTTTTAAACCTGAATAACACTAGTTACATCAAAGAAGTTGAGCTTCTATTCTACAATATTCTAAGTAACAGGAACTATATATATAGTTTAATAACTATAACTAACTGACCAACTAATGCATCCCATATTAGTCTCCCATCAAGCTTGTTGTAAATGTTGCCTTTGCTAATAAATTACCAACGTAGCGACTAAAACTCTAGTAATACCAAAATTTACGTAGATAAAGATGAACCTAACCATGGGAATAGTGAGTATAGCTGTATAGCTCTCATTATCTTGGTGAATGTCGATTTACTTTATACATATATCCTATTAATATAATAAATGTGAAAGTTTGTATGTTTCTGTGTTTGTAATTCCTCATTTCCACCAAGAAACAAGTCATATAGTAGTTTTAAACAAAACTTGGAGAATACTTGTTGTGGCTGCTTAATACGTTATTTCGTTTACACTGCATAGACAACTGGTATCTTACAAGTATAAATCACTTATTTACTTTACATAATTTTGTTTATCAAAGAAGCTTGATACAAGTATTGTATACTACATATTTTACACATGTATTATATTTTTATTTACACCTAGGTGTAAAAGAGGGGTTACAATCACCCAAAAACTACTAAACGGATGTCGATGAAATTTAGTACGCGTATAGTTTATGGATTAAAACATACCTGGATTAAAACATAGGATACTTTTTATATCAGAAAAATGTAAGTTTCCTGTGGGATTCTCAAAAACTGAAGATACCGTGGACGAAGTCGCGGGTGGCCGCTAGTAATGTATAAAGTAAATTGAAATTTCACGAAATGGTATCTAAAGTAATATAAATTTGTATACGTATTAAGTAAGTCAATGAAATATCTAAATTACTTGCAAATATGGGAAATTCATTCGGACCCAAAACAGAAATGGGAAACGTTTAATACAGCTTTCATCGCATAAAATAAGGAAATGTTACGTTTTTACGATTACATTTAATTATATAAATTATTATAAAAAAATCCTATATACGATTTTGTAATATTTATCCAGATCTAGGATCAACCAAAGAAATGGCTTATTGAAAAACATATTGCCATGAAACTGAAAAAAAAACAGTTTTTAACAGTGTAATAAATAACTAAACCCACCTGTCTACTTACTTATAACGCCAAATAAATATTATTTAGAGCAACACAGCAGCTTCTGTAAAATGAAGGACACTTGCCCAGACAATCATCGTCATCATCATCAGCCTATTAATATCCCCACTGCTATAGGGAGATCGGGCCCTGACCTACCACGCGGGCTCAGCGCGGATTGATGGGTGCTGACGACGGCAGATGCAGCCGGGACCAATGGCTTAACGTGCCTTCCGAAGCACGGAGGAGCTCGAAATAGTAAATTTTTGGTCACCAGACAATCATTTATTTATTTATTTATCTTTAACAAACTTTCGGCAGCGATTTTTGTAGATTTAATACGATATA